GGTTAGGGGTGGGGGGCACCGTGTTGCGGTGGTTCTCCTCCTTCCTCTCTGACCGGTCACAGTTTGTGTTGACGGGGGGGGCAGAGGTTGAGCACGAGGCACCTTGTATGTGGGGTGTCGCAGGGGTCGGTCCTCTCGCCCCTTCTATTCAACATTTATGTGAAGCCACTGGGTGAGATCATCCATGGTTTCGGGGTGAAGTACCATCAGTACGCTGATGACACCCAGCTGTACATCTCCACCCCGGACCACCCCAATGATGCTCTTGACGTGATGTCCCGGTGTCTGGAGGTCGTATGGATCTGGATGGGGAGAAACAGGCTCAAGCTCAACCCATCCAAGATTGAGTGGCTGTGGCTTTCAGCATCCTGATATAATCAGTTGGTGCCATCTCTGACTATTGGGGGCGAATCGTTGGCCACCACAGAGAGGGCTCGCAACTTGGGTGTCCTCCTGGATGCACGGCTGTCTTTAGAAGAGCATGTGACGGCCGTGGCCAGGGGGGCTTTTTAACAGGTTCGCCTGATTCGCCAGTTGCATCCCTTTCTGGATTGGGACTCCTTACGCACGGTCACTCATGCCCTCGTCACTTCCCGCCTGGACTACTGCAATGCTCTCTACATGGGGCTCCCCTTGAAGAGCACCCGGAGGCTCCAACTGGTCCAGAATGCAGCCGTGCGGTTGATTATGGGAGCGTCATGGCGCTCCCATGTAACACCTCTCCTGCGTGAGCTGCACTGGCTCCTGGTGGTCTTCCGGGTGCGATTCAAGGTGGTGGTGAGTGCTCCATGGCTTAGGGCCTGGATATTTATGGGACCGCCTTCTGCCACCGAGAGCCTCCCACCGGCCAGTACGCTGCCACAGAGAGGGGCTCCTCCAGGTGCCGTCGGCCAAACAATGCTGACTGGCGGCCCCCAGGGGAAGAGCTTTCTCTGTGGGAGCACCTGCCCTCTGGAACGAGCTCCCCCTGGAGATACGGACAATTCCAGACTCACATACTTTCCGTCAGGCCCTCAAAATCTTTTTATTTCATCAACTATTTCATCAGGCTGGCCTAATCTCTCCAATTGTGTATTTTAATTTGGATTTTTAATGGAGGATTTTAACTGTCAGGCCAAATTGTTTAATTTATTTTAAAATTGTTTTTAAATTTTGTATTTGATGTTTTTTACTTCTGGCTGTTCACCGCCTTGAGTCCTTCGGGAGAAGGGCGGTATATAAATTTAAATATTAAATTAAATTAAAATTAATTAATTGAGCGGGGTGGGTGAGATTTGTAGCTTTTGAAGTGGGGTTTATAGATAACGTGTTTCGAGGCAGCTGCTGTGCTGGGGTTTGGCTGCGGGGGTGGACTTCTCTGTCTAGAGCAATGGACATGATATACCAGTCATGGAGACGTTCAGGCACTCCCCGGATCCCACAGGCTTTTCTGACTTCTGGGTCAATAGCTTCTTTAAAGTAATGCAGGAGTATGCGGTCAGGCCAATGGCCTAGATTCCTTGCAACTCATCTAAAGTCCCATACAAAGTCTTTTATAGGCCAATTACCTTGCTTCATGAGCTTTAGCGTGGCTTCGTTTTCATTTACGCGGTCAGGGTCCTCAAATCGGGACAAGAGCAGTGTGATAAACCCATCGGCATCATTTAGTTCAGCAGCACCCTCATTATGCAGCTGGGCTGTCCATTCAGAAGCCTCCCCCTCATTCATTCCATCTGAGATAAGTCTTGTTCTGATTCGTATTGCTCACGATATTGATCCATGTGAGCCCAGACCCTGCTGAGGAAATAAGCTAGCTTGGCTGGTGTCCTGTCAAAGGTTGCTCTGAAGCGGGGTGGTCCTGGCCTCGCAGGTGGGGGGGGCAGTGGCTGCGGCTGGTTGGGGGAGAACTTGCTGCGGGTCTGCTCCTGGTTGTTGCATTCCAACAGGCTGGTGTAAAGTTTGCTGGGCTGGAGGGGGAAGGCAGTCTAGCCGGTTGTTGGATTAGTCCCCCCTGCGGTGGCAGGATCGTTTGGCCATAGGAGGGGGGCCAGGGGGATCCCTGGAAGCTTAGAACAGGCGGGGCGGGATATCCCTGGCATTGGATCCATTCCTGGCCGGGAAAGAAAACCCATCCGGGTGGTATGCTCTCTGCAGGAGGTAATGCTAACGCAGGCTGGCGAGAGGCCCAAAAGGGAGGGTTTTGCCTTTCGTATGCCGGCTGAATCTGATGCCCCACTGCTGCAGGATTGGAATGTTGCGCTAATCCTGTTGTTTGGCCTCCGGATGGAAAGGAGGGGGAGACTGCGTCCTATGAATCCCCCCTCCATGTCCCAGATCAGGGAGGGCGAATGTTGATTTCGCTAGCCTGCAGCTCACCTCCAGGGGTTGGGAAGGGGGGGCGAAGCTCCCCTCTTCCATCCACTGAAGACTCTCCGAGGAATCTGATGCCACAGGCCAAGTCCCAAGTCGAAGGGCTTCCTCTGCAGCCTCCATGGCTTGTCCCATTTCTTCAGAAAGAGCATGCAAGGGACCGGCAATTCCTCGAGCATCCGGGGCCCTGGCAGGCCTCCCTCCTTCTCCTTTCTCCTCCATCTTCACTGAGTCTTTGCATCACCCGGGGTTTTAGGTCGATGTTAGGGCTCAGTACCGCTGACAGCCCCCTTATGGGGTGCTGTTAAGTTTTAGGGCATTTCAGGATAATGTCAGCATTCCAGAAAACCCCCAACTCCCAGTAAAGACGCAGAAGCAGGCATTTTCCAAAGTTCTCTTTACTAGCAATAGGTAAACTGGCACATCTGGGAAATCCCGAAACTGAAAAGCCCGGGCTTTCCTTTGATAATACAAAGCTCCCAAAACCAACCCCTTCTCCCCAATAGGTCACATGCTCCAATCACCGTCAGTTTCACCTCGGCCCAGCCCTGACCACTCCTCCTCCAGATGCTGGACTGCCCTGACCTTGACCAATGGGAAGAACGCTGTTATGTCTACTGATTTCCCTCTCCTAAATCCACCCTCCTACTTTCCCACACATGAGGAGGTGGCAGCATTGAAGCTTCCGGCTGACAAGGGTTTCAATTTGGGGGAATCAGAGTTGGATCAGATAATGACTGGAAAGGATGAAAAATGATTAAAAGATTGTATAATTACTTGTTGCAAATTAGACTAGAAGATGAAGAAATAAAAAAGACAATGATAACATGGGCGAAAAACTTTGGTTATGCAATAGAATTAGAGAAATGGTAACAAATATGGGAAAGGAATTATAAATTGACAATGGCAACTGCATATAAAGAACATTTATATAAAATTTTTGATAGATGGCATATGCCACCAGAAAGATTAGCAAAAATGTTTAAGGATAAATCAGCCAAGTGTTGGAAATGTTGGCATTTGCCGGGATCATATTATTATCATATGTGGTGGTCATATACAGAAGCAAAAAATTATTGGTCCAGAGGGTTGGAGGAAATGTTACATAAATCTATAGAATTAAAACCAGAGGTTTTTTTTTTAATTTTTTTTTTTTAATTTGATTTATATGCCGCCCTTCTCCGGAGACTCAGGGCGGCTTACAATGCGTTAAGCAATAGCCTTCATCCTTTTGTATATTTATACAAAGTCAGCTTATTGCCCCCACAACTGGGTCCTCAATTTACCTACCTTAGAAAGGATGGAAGGCTGAGTCAACCTTGAGCCTTGGCGAGATTCGAACCTGCAGTAATTGCAGGCAGCTGGTTTTAATAACCAGCTTAATAACAGGGTGCCTTAAACCACTGTGCTACCAAGGCTAATTGGGTATTCTGCCAGAGAGATACAGCAAAGAAGATGTGTATTTAATTATACACATAATAAAAGTAGCAAGAATTGTATTTGTGCAAAATTGGAAAACAGAAAAAATCCCGTCCGAAGATGAAGTAATAAAAAAGATTTTAGACGGTACGGAAATGAATAGATTAATTCTAAGAATAAAAGACAAAGGGGAATCGGTCTATTTAAAGACATGGGGAGGGTTTTATGTATGGTTAGAAAAGAAATATGACTGAAAGATGATAGATAAGTGATTTAGATAATAGAAAGTTAAATGAGGGAGAGGACAAAAAGAAATAGAAACCCAGATGACACCAGAGTAAATGGAAAAGGGGGATGGGAGGGGGGAAAAGAAAGAAGATTATAAGTATAAATGTACAATTATGAGAATAAAAGTGACAGATTGGACCGGGGACAGGAGTAGGAGAGAAGGTGAGAAAGGGGGAAAAGAGGGGAGGAGTGGGGGAAAAGAAGGGAAAAGAGGAAGGAGGAAGAAGAGGAGGAGGGAGAAAGTAGAAGAGGAAAGGAGGGAGGGAGGGGAAAGAAAGAAGGAGAAGAAGGTATGGTGTGAAATGAGGGAAAACAAAGTAGAAGAGCAACCCCGAATGTAATTAAAATGCCTTATTTTTATGCTTTCTTTAAGAAAAATATGTATATGTATGACCAATTATGTATAAGAGAATGTACATTTACATTGTGTGTATAAGAAATAAAAGTAAAAAACTTTAAAAAAAAAAAGCAATCAATCAATGGAACAGAAGTTTCATGGGAGCTTCATCACTGGGAGCTTTCAAGAAGAGACTAGACTGCCAAAACGTAAGAAATGGTGTAGGGAGGTTGGACTAGATGACCTACAAAGTGCCTTCCAACTCTGTTAATCTGTACCTTAGGAGGTTGATAAATTACAAAAAGAAAGGTGGTCTAGCAATTCCTGCCACTGTGATACGTTTATTTCTAATTCTCGAAGGACTTTAACAGAACTGCTTCTTATAAAGGCAAATATGGAGGAGCACCTAGCAGAACAAGATAACCAGAGGAAGCTATGCTGGCTGACAGCAACTTCAACCTGCTATTCTGCTCTCTATGTTGCGGAAGGACACAAAAATAACCCAGTCCAAACAAAGGGGGGGGGATAGTAGGAGAGAGAACTCTGTACACCCACTTCACTTCCTGAAGGCGAGAATACAAATCTTTATAACTTTTCCTTTTCTTACCTGATTTAGGGGTTCAACCGCTGTTTTATCACCGTCATAAAAACCAGAAAATTTCATTCTTTGTTTCTCTGTAAGGAATAAATAATTTCAAAATAAATAACAAAATATTTAATTCATTTATTTTAGACAATTTATATGCCGCCTATTCGCACATGGCGACTCAAGGCAGTTTACAAAGTATTAAACCCATATTAAAATCCATATTGAGCTGAGGTGGCACAGTAGTTAGAGTGCAGTACTATACCTACTTTAGCTGACTGCTAGTTTAACATATCAGCAGATCGAATCTCACCAGCTCAAGGTTGACTCAGCTTTCCATCCTTCCGAGGTGGGTAAAATGAGGACCCAGATTGTTGGGGGCAATATTATTATTATTATTATTATTAATAATAATAATAATAATAATAATAATAATAATAATAATAATAATAATAATAATAATAATAATAATAATAATAATAATAATAAAATTTATATACCGCCCTTCTCCCGAAGGACTCAGGGCGGTGGACAGCTGGAATTAAGATACATATTATATACATATGTTATATATTATATATATTATATTATATAATATATTATATACATATTAAGATACATATAAGATATATATAATTTCATCAGCCGAGGGCCCAGGGCAGGGGTGGGGGGGTGGCGGTTGTCATTAAGGAAAGTCTTGATCCGAGGGAGACCACTGTACCACAGATAGCCGGATGTGAGTCTCTCCTGGTGAAGTGGGGCCATGGGATGCAGATGGGCCTGCTGATCATGTACCTGGCTCCCTGCCACGTGACAGCGGCCCTGCCCGAGCTTCTCAACGTTATTGCTGGAGTGGCGGTTGATACCCCCAGACTGGTGGTCATGGGGGATTTCAACCTGCCGTCAGCCGGTGAGGCATCTGAGGTGGCCCGGGAGTTCATGGCTTCCATGACGGCCTTGGACCTGACACAACTAATTCATGGCCCTACTCACACGGGAGGACACACTCTGGACTTATGAAAGAAGGTGCCAACCTCCTTTCCACACTTCCAACATGTTGCTGAGGCATTGGGAAATATTTTTGCTAATCTAGCTGGCGCTAGATACCATCTATGGAAAATTTTATAGTGATTCTCCCTATAGGTTGCTGATTTAGTCAAATTGTAGTTTCTATTCCAGGCCTCCTCCCAATCATTGAAGTTTAATTTATAACCAATGTTCTTTTCCCAAATATTTAATTGATTTCTGGCTATTCCTTCTGCCCTGTCCTCGCCTAGTAACAGATTGTAAAATTTTGCTAACATTTTTTTTTCAGCCCCCAGTATAATTTTGTCCAAATTGTTATATTTCCTCTCTATACCAAATTGATCCCTATCTTTTTGATATCTTGAGCTTATCTGTAGATAGCTCCACCAATCTAAACTAAAGCCTAAGTTTCCTAATATTTCCCGAGACTTAAGAATTCCATTGTCGTCTAATATGTCTTTATACGTGCCAAATTTTAGAATATCCCTTTTATTTGAGGCGGTCAGGGCCTCCATGATTGAGAGCCAATATGGTATTTTCCCATAAAATCGTTTCCTAATTTCCTCCCATGTTTGAATGAGAGTTTCCCTTAATTTGTGTTTATAAAAATACGATTCTTTTTTGTTCTTTGAGTCCCATAAATAAGCATGCCAGCCTGCGTGTAGGTCATGGCCTTCTAACGTCAATAATCTCTTGTTTTGTAATGTGACCCACTCTTTCACCCATACTAGTTTGGCCGCCTTTTGGTATACTTCCCAATCAGGTAATCCAAATCCACCCATGTTTCTTCTCCCTTGTAGTGTCTTATATGCAATCCTCGCCTTTTTCCCTTCCCATAGGAAGTCTCGTATCTTTTTTTCCAAATCCAGAAAGTATTTTTTGTCAAGATTCACTGGTATAGTTTGAAATAAAAATATAATTTTAGGGAGAATATTCATTTTAATTGCTGCAATCTTACCTGTGAGGGATAATTTTAACTTCTTCCATCTGTCTATGTCCTGCTTTATTTTTTGTAGTAATGGGCTGTAGTTATCCTCTTTCAAAGAGGAATATCTTGTAGTGATCCATATTCCCAAATACTTTATTTTCTTTACAATCTGGAGATCTAAGGATTTTTCTAACTCTTTCTTATTTGTCTCTGTCATGTTTCTTACTAACATTTTAGTTTTTGTTTTGTTCAGTTTAAAGCCGGCAACTTCTCCCTACTGTTGTGCTTCCTGGAGTAATTTGGGACCCGATTTCAAGGGATCTTCTATTATTAGGGCCACGTCATCTGCAAAAGCTTGTGTTTTAAATGTTTCTTTCTTAATTCGAAGTCCTTTAATTTTTTTGTTATCTCTAATCTTTCTAAGTAAATTTTCCAGTGCCATTATAAAGAGTAGGGGGGACAAGGGGCATCCCTGCCTAACTCCCTTTTGTATCCAAAATGTCCTCGTCTTGTCCCCGTTTATTAGAATGCTCGCCTTCTGTTTACGATATATGTTTTCGATCATCTTCCTAAAATTTGTTCCAAATCCCATTAAGTCTATTTGATTAATCATAAATTTCCAGTTGAGGTTATCAAACGCCTTTTGGGCGTCCAAAAACACTAACGCCAGCTGTTTTTCTGGGTGCTGCTCATAGTATTCTATGACATTTATTACGGTCCTCAAATTGTCTCTCATTTGCCTCCCTGGGAGAAATCCCTTCTGATCGTTATGAATCCAGCCATTTAGAATTTTTTTTAGTCTTTCCGCAATTATACTTGTAAATAATTTGTAGTCGGAATTTAATAACGAAATAGGCCTATAATTTGCAATTTGTTTCGGGTCAGCACCTTCTTTCAATATGAGTGTAATATAAGTTTCCTTCCAAGAGTCTGGGATTCTTGTGCCCACTAAGACCTCATTGAATATTTCTAACAATTCTAATTGTATTTCTTCCTCAAATTTTGTATATATTTCCCCCGGGAGACCATCTGGGCCAGGTGTTTTATTTTTTTTAATTTTAGTGAGAGCCGATTTAAGTTCTTCTATTGTAATTTTTTTTGTTTAGCATTTCCTTCTCTTCTTCTGATATCTGTGGGAGGTTAGCTTCTATCAAGTATTGTTCGTTTTTTTCTGGGTCGATCCTTTCATTTTTATATAAGGCTTCATAAAATTCTCTCGCTCTTTCTAGTTTGTCCTCTTCTTTTGTCAAAATATCGCCTCTGGAATCTTCTAATATAAGAATTTGATTTTTTTCCTGTTGTTTTTTTTAATCTATAGGTCAGCCACCTTCCAGACTTATTTGCGTTCTCAAAATGATACTGTTTTATTCTCTTGATCTTTTGCGCCAACTCCTCCTGATCCAAAATATTGAGATTATGCCTTGCCATCATCCATTTTTGTTTAGCCATCTCATCTCCCGGGTCTTGTTGTAATTTATTATCGGCCTCTTCTAGTTTCCTATTATAAATCTCCCTAGCATTCCTTTTTTCCTTATTTTTGAACGCCAAATACGAAATCGCTACCCCTCTCACATACGCTTTCATGGTATCCCATAAAATTTCCTTCGCCGTGCCTTGTTTGCCATTTTTGATAAAGAAGCGCTTGACTTCTTCATTCAATTTTATTACAAACTCTTTTTCGTTCAAAAGGTTAGTCCTTAGACTCCATCTCTGTTGCTTTCTCTTATTTGTATAATGCCAGTTTATTTCATGAAGTTTGTGATCTGCCCAAGTATTTGTACATATATCCACTTTCTTAATTTCTAGACCTAATTTTCCAGTAGTCCATACCATGTCAATTCTGGACCAGGAGTTCTGTGAAGCTGAGTAGAAAGTGTATTGGGAATCATACGGGTGTAAAGTACGCCACACATCAATTAAATTCATTTCATCCACCAGATCAAAAAAGCTTTTTGGCAGAGGTAACCTTTTTTTTTTTACCTTTCCCCACTCTTATAATCTTTCTCTGGATTGACAACGCCATTAAAGTCACCTAACATACAAAGTTCAACATGAGCCCAATTTCCTAATTGTTCGTGTAATTTTTTGTAAAATTGTCCCTGTTTTTTGTTCGGGGCAAATACCCCCACCAACATCATTTTTGAGTTACCTCTCTTAATTTCTACTATTAGAATTCTCCCCTTGGTGTCTTTGTATTTTAATTCTGCCTCAATTCCTTTTCTCACATATACAACCACTCCCCTTTTCTTTTTCTCTGCTAATGACATAAAAGGGTTTAGTTTCAACCCGTTGCTCCCCATCCAGCCCCTAACAGCCTCCAGGCATCGCGATAGGGAGGACACGGCATCGCTTAACCCACCACGGGTTATGACTCCTTCAGCTTCAACCACAACAATACACGAGCACACAATAGATACAAAGTTATGGTAAACTGCGCTACACTTGATTGCAGAAAATATGACTTTAGTAACAGAGTCACTAATGCCTGGAATGCACTACCGTACTCTGTGGTTTCTTCCCCTAAACCCCAAAACTTTAACCTTAGACTGTCTACTGTCGACCTCACCCCATTCCTAAGAGGTCTCAAAGGCGAGTGCATAAGCGCACCAGCGTGCCTACCATCCCTGTCCCAATGTTCCCTTTTATATCTATCCATTTCATGTATTCATAATTAAGTTTATACTTATATCTGCTAACTATTACATGCTTGAATATGTATGTATGTATGTATGTATGTATGTATGTATGTATGTCTCTTTAGCCAGGTTCTTCCTACGTAAACCAAGATTTTTATGCAGCCCTATTTCAGTGAAATCACAATCCACTAGTTTCTAGGCTTTTTGTTTCTTCAGGCAGCAAGCAAGCACCCTGCTGCCCATCGGGAGACTGGTGGGGATGATTGGTGGTGGCGTCATGTGTTATCCTGGGTCCAGTGTCAATGTTTGTGGCTGGGGCTCGTTTGTTGTAAACCACCAAATCCAAAATAAAAGCCTCTCCCATCAGTGAAGAGATCCAGCAAAGAATCATCCCCAGAGAGAAATCATCCAGATGCCCCAAGCTCTATGGCCTCTCCAAGATACACAAAGAAGGAACCCCACTCAGACCCATAGTCAGCTCCGTAGGCTCACCTCTACAGAATCTTGCCAAATTTCTTGCCAAACAACTTCAGCCCTACGCAGAATCCATCACCTCTCATGTACAAAAATCATTCCACTTCATAGAAACAATAAAGAAACAAAACCTACAACCCAGTGACCTACTCATGAGTTTTGATGTCATATCCCTCTTCACCCAAGTGCCTATTAAAGAAGCCTTGACAGCTATCCAAAACAAATATAAACCCCCTAAACACATCCTAGATCTGACCAACCACTGCCTAACCAACACATACTTCATCTACAATGGACAAAGATACAAACAGATAGAAGGAGCACCTATGGGATCACTCCTCTCACCCGCTATTGCAAACCTATACATGGAACACTTTGATCTCTAGTTCCTCTGCCTCTTCGAAATCCTGCCTGTACTTCTGGTAGTTCTTGGTCCACATACTGCTGGAGCCTAGCTTGTAGGATTTTGAGCATAACTTTGCTAGCATGTGAATGAGTGCAATGGTGCGGTAGTTTGAACATTCTTTGTCATTGCCCTTATTTGGAATTGGAATGTAAACTGACCTTTTCAGAGTTCAAACCCAAACTCTGGCTCAGATATGTAGATGACACTTCCATAATTTGGCCACACGGAAAGAAAAAACTGGACAACTTCCTCACACATCTCAACAACCTACACCCCAAAATACAATTTACTATGGAAATAGAAGCTAAGAACCAATTCCCCTTTCTGGACGTCCTAGTCTACAGAAAACCCAATGGCTCCCTAGGACACACCATCTACCAGAAAAAAACACACACAAAGCACTACTTAAACGCTCAATCACATTACCACCCGGCACTGATCAACTCCGTAGCCAAGACTCTCATCTCCAGAACCAAACACCTAGTCGACAAAGACCACCTGAAAATTGAATTACACACTCTCACAAACGTATTAATCTCTAATGGATTCCAAAGAAACACAATTACCAACCTAATCCAAAGAGAGACACCCCCCAAGAACCGAGACATGGAAGAGGACAACGGCATCACCCTCCTCCCTTACATCAAAGGCACCACAGATAAAATCAGCAAAATTCTCCACAAACACAACCTCACGACCTTCCCCAAGAGGAGGAGGCTCACCTAAAGAGGGTCGTTGGGCAATTATCTGCAGATGCAATTAGTGTGGAGAAGTATAAAGAGGAGGAGGAATCGTATAAAAGACAGAGCGAAGGTAAGACAGATGGGTAATCAGGGGATCTTCAATTACCTCCTGAAGTGTCCTGACTTTGATCCTCCCAAGGGATCCTCCTGAAAAATAGCTCATGAGGGGGATTTGATGGGTTCTTCTTTCCCTCAGGATCTCTGATCTCCACAGTGCAGCACTTCCAGTAGGAGGAAGGAAAGAAGCAGAATTAATGTACATCACATGACATAAAGTGCATTCCTATATTCGGAACGCCACCTCAAAGCCCCCAATACCCATCCGTGTGGTTGAGTGAGAAAACAATGGAACAATGTCCTACAAGAATAGGTGGGATATCGCCACATATTATGAATGTCAGAAATTTGGGAAGGAGGGGTGAAGTATTCAAACAGATTCTCTATTCTCTTTTGAATTCTTACCTGTAACTCAACCTGCTCCTTCTGCTCCTCCACTTGGCTCAGGAGGAAGCCTTCCACCAGAGCCACCGCCTGGGAACTGGTCTCCACTCCATATTCTCGCACCCAGCTCTCCATCTCTGGGGGCAGAAGAGCCAGGAACTGCTCCAGAACAACCAGGTCCAGCATCTTTGCTTTGGTGTGCTTTTCTGATCTCAGCCATCGCCTACAAAAGTCATGGAGGTGGCTGCAAAATCCTCGGGGACCCTCAAGCTCCTGCCATTGGATGAAGTTCCAGGGCTGAACTTCTGAAGGGAGGAGGGTTTCCTCCTCCAGGATCTCCTGTCCAGTCCTTGTCCAGAGCTTTCCCCCCTTCCCAGGCTGAGCAGCTGAAGGGCCTTTTCCGCTTCTCTCCTTTCCAAAAGGTTGTGTCTCCATCCTTTCTCTGTCCTGCAGAGCAACTGCAAATGGCTCCAAGGACTCTGGTGGGTCTCCAGATGCCTTTTCCTTCACGGGACCATTTCTGGGGCTGCAGGACTGATCCCCCCAAGGGATTCCGCTCTTTTTCTTTTCCCCAAGAGAAAATTTTGGCTTGCAAAGATTTCAAATGGCTTCCAGTTTCTGTATCTGAGATGGAAGAAAAAAATATATCAAGAATTAGAAAGCGGAATTGAGCCACTGAACAACCTTCTGAGCCTCTGCAAGGCTGACTGTCCCCTCCCCCCACTCGGACTCTTCGCATGGAGAAGGCGGCTGGGGAGCATGGGATCTGGGGTTGGAGCCAGAGAAGGGCCAGGCGAGGGTCTCTCCCTCCTCCACCTCCCTTTGCCCGTGAAGAGCCCCCAACTCACCGGGGGCACATATGGATCTTCCCCCGCCAGCCTCTCCGCCTCCTGCGGATGTTAAGGAGAGCGAGAGCACCATCCTAGAGCGGCAAGCTTTCATGATGTCACTTCCTTCCCGGCCTCCTCTACAAAGACGGCTGTGACATTCACCCTCCAGTGGACCAATGGAAAAGCACCGGGAGTCCCCTTCTATTGGTGGAGGGCGCCCTCTGGGGGATTTGGCGCAAAGTGCCAGGATTGCAGAAAGGGCGGGAAAGAGGAGCGCGTCTGAGGGGAAGGGAGAGGGCAGGGATGATGGGCTTGAGAGTAGGAGGAAAGGCCCCTCTCAATGCCTGCCAGCCCAAGAAAAGCTTTGTGCTTTTCAGAGGCAGCATTTTCTCCATCTTCCTCTCCTTTCCTGTCCAGGAATCATCTGTGGAGATGGAGAAAAATCTCTCTGGAGGATTTAAAATCACTTCCCTCAAGAACAGCCGCCCTGAAGGCTCCGCAGAGATTGTGGGAGGCCTCCAAAGGGTCCAAATCAGGGGTGAAATGTAAAATTTGTTACTGCCAGTTCTGTGGGCGTGGCTTGGTGGGGGGAGGGGGTAATGTGACTGAATGGGCGCGGCCAACTTTTTTTTCCAAAATTTTTAAAAGCATTTTTTCTACCTCTTCCGCTAAAGAGGCTGTAAAAAAAATGATTTTAAAAGCCGCTGATGATGCCAGCTGAGCCACATGATCATCAGAGGGTTTTTTTTAAAAAAAACTTTTAAAAGCATTTCTTTGACAGAACAGGTTGTAGAAAAAATGCTTTAAAAAAAAAGCCTCTGGTGATCAGGTGGCTCAGCTGGGCATGGAGGGAGGCAGGATTTTTGCTACCAGTTTCCCAAACCACCCACTGCCCTAACTACTGGATTGGGCAATCCTGTCTGACCCAGGAGCATTTCACCCCTGGTCCAAATCCTGTCAGAAACAGCCGGGCGGTCAGAAGAGGAGGACCAGGAGCCTCTGTGGGAAAGACAGCTGGTGTCTTGCGGTTATTGAGAACTCCCTCCTGAAGGGGAGGCAGATGGGACACAGGCAGGAAGGCCACAATCAGGAAGTTGATTTTAATTTATTTATTTTTATTTCTTTAATTCAATACATGCAGCTGCCCTTCCCAAACTTTTCCCTCAGCCTCATAACAAAGGGGGGAGGAGAAAGGGCAGGGACCCCTCCGGTCTCTTCTGATGAAAGAAAAAGGAAGATCCCGAAAAAGGAAAAGAAAGCTAAACTATGATGAGGAAAAACCATTTTTACATAGGGATTGAGTAGGAAATTCACCTCAAGAAATGTGAACTTAATATGCGTCCACATATCCCTACCACTGCTTTCTCTTCCCTTCTTTTACACAACTCTGTGAAAGTAGTTGCCATGGCACTGAAACAATGATAACTACAACATAAGTAAGCAGTGTGGCCAGGCAGCTGGGAAGGCAAACAAAATTCTGAGATGCATCACCAGATGTATCACCCTCAGCAAAAAGGAGCTCCTATCTCTCTACATAGGGCTTTAGTGAGACTCCATTTGGAATACTGTGTCCAGTTCTGGAGACTTCACTTTAAAAAAGGTATTGATAAGATTGTGTGAGTCCAGAGATGGGCAACACGAGGGAAGGCAAGGAAAGATCACCACAAAATTAGTATAATCATCATCATCATCATCATCATCATCATCATCATTTTATTTCTATACCGCCTTTCTCCCGAAGGACTCAGGGCGGTGTACAGCCAATTTAAAAACACAGGACACAACAATGATTAAAAATTAAAATAATTAAATAGATTTGGCCGATTTAAAACCCCAAAATTTAAAATACCCCAATTTAAAATTATTATGTTGATAGCCCTGCCTGGCGGAAAAACAGGGTCTTCAGTGCGCAGCGAAACACCCGGAGGTCGGAGATCTTACGTATTTCCTACGTAAGAGGAAGAGCCTATGAGTTGCATTTTCTAATTCAGCATCACTATAATCCCCTTTTCCTTATGGTTTTCTTTCTCTGTTATTACTTGCATAAAGTGAAACGGTGGAAAGGCAGACTGTGACAATAGTAAGCAAAGGAAGAAAAGCTGAAACAATAGTAAGGGATTCAGGACTAATTGCATTTCTGCCTGCAACTCTGCTCTAGTGGATATACTCCCACCGACCAGTACGCTCCCATAGAGAGGGGCTCCTCCGGGTGCCGTCGGCCAAACAATGTCGACTGTCAGCCCCTAGGGGGAGAGCCTTCTCTGTGGGGGCACCTATGATCTGGAACGAGCTCCCCCCAGAGATACGGAGGATCCCGGATCTGCGCACCTTCCGTCGCGCGCTCAAGACTTTCTTATTTCAGCAAGCCAGCCTGGCCTAAATCTTCTCCCCTTTTTAAATGCAAATTTTAATTTGTTTTTAAAATATTGGGTATTTTAAATTTGTGTCAGCCAAATTATTTAATTCATTTTATTCTATTTTAAATTTTTGTACTTATGTGTTTTATTTTGTGGCTTTTCACCGCCCTGAGTCCTTCGGGAGAAGGGCGGTATAGAAATTTAATAAAATAAAATAAAATACTCATCAGAGGGAGTTACTGGAAATGTACCACTTAAATATTGGCATCCACACATCACTTTGAGGGCAAACGATAACCTTAATCTCCATTGATACTCATCTTTCTTTTAAAACCTCCTACTTAGCAAAAAAGCACCAGAATGGATTGAGGATTCAAAATCAAAATCAGAATAGAGCTGGAAGGGAACTTGGAGCTATTCTAGTCCAACCTCCCGCCCAAGCAGGAGACCCTACACCATTTCTGACAAATGGCAGTCCAATCTCTTCTTCAAAGCCACCAGCAATGAAGCGCCCACAACTTTCGAAGGCAAGCTCTTCCATTGGTTGATTGTTCTGTCAGAATCGTTCCTTGATAAGTTTCCATCCATTATTCCTTGTCTGGCCTTCAGGTGCCTAGGACCCCACCCTCTCTGTGGCAGCCCCTCAAATATTGGAACACTGCTATCCTGTCTCCCCTGGTCCTTCTCTTCACTAGACTAGCCATGCCCAGTTCCTATAACAGTTCTTGTTTTAGTCTTCCGGCCTTTAATCAGCTTAGCTGCTCTTCTTTGCTCTTTTTCCAAAGTTTCAACATCTTTTTTGTAATATGATGACCCAAAGAGGATGCGGTATTCCGAGTGTGGTCTTACTAAGGCTTTATAGAGCGGTAATAATACTTCATGTGATTTTGATTCTATGCCTCTGTTTATACAACCAAGGATTGTGTTCGTTTTGGCTGCTGCCGCACACAGGTAATTCATGCTTAATTGATCATCCATTCCAACTCCAAGGACCCTTCACAGTTACTATTATCCAGCCAGGTTTCAGGTAATCTGTTTTTCCTGCCCAGCTGTAAAAGCTTATTTTTCTCCACATTAAATTTCATTTTGTTGGATTCTACCTTGTCTCGTTTGGATCTGAAAGGCACAATATGCATAAATATCAAAATCTATAGAAACGTGGTGGATCAGTGATTAGAATGCAGTACTATAGGCTAATTGCCCACAGCCAGAAGTTTCACTCTGACAGGGTCATGGTTGATTCAGCTTTCATCCTTCTAAGGTGGGTAAAATGAGGACCCAGATTGCTGGAGACCATATGCTGACTTTGTAAACTGCTCAAAGAGAGCTGTAAAGCATTGTGGAGTGGAATATAAGTCTAAGTGGAATTACTATTGCTATACAGTTTCTTCTGAGCGTGGATCCTTTTATGAGAATTAAGACTACCTTTCCGAGTAAAGTCCTTTCCACACTCCAAGCATTTATACGGCTTCTCCCCTGTGTGGATCCTCTCATGGAAAATAAGATGACCTCTTTCAGAAAACATTTTTCCACACTCCAAGCATTTATATGGCTTCTCCCCTGTGTGGATCCTCTTATGGCTAATAAGACTACCTCTTAGAGCAAACATTTTTCCACACTCCAAGCATTTATACGGCTTCTCTCCTGTGTGTATCCTCTTATGGGAAATAAGATGACCTCTTTGACCAAACGTCTTTCCACACTCCATGCATTTATACGGCTTCTCCCCTGTGTGGATCCTCCTATGGGAAATAAGATTACGTCTTTCAGCAAAGGTTTTTCCACACTCCATGCATTTAAATGGCTTTTCCCCTGCCTGGATCCTTTTTGGGGAAATAAGATTACTACGTCTTCTGAACCTTTTACCAGACTCTCTGCATTTGTATACCTTCTCCCCAGTGTGAATCCCCTCATGGGAAATAAGTTGCCTGCTTGTTCCAAAACATGTTCCACATTCCAAACATTTATAAGGCTTCTCTTTTGTGTCTATCACTTTTTGAGATGTAAGGAACTTATTTCCAAGAGAAGGAATGAATGTCCCGTTGTAACTTTGTCCATTGTGTCTTCTTATAGCATCTTCTCCTTTGTTTGGCTTAAATAGTGTGCTTTTACTTGTAATTTAGCTTTGATTGGCTTCACACTTTCACCAATATATTTTTTCCTTATTTTCTCCTGTTGGGCAAGAAAGTCTTGCATCGGACCATCGGTGGAAGATGAGCTTTCCTGATTCCAATCATTTGACTGGTTTCTATCATGGGTTTCTGGTTCCATTCGAATTCCAAACTTCTCCGTTCCATCTTTAGCATTGATCACTTGGAACAGTTCACAGGAATTTTGATTCTCCTGCCCATTATTACCTTCAAAGCAAAAGAGAAATGAAAATAATAACAAGGTTAGAGAAAAAATTGGATGAATTTATCAGAGGAAAGAATACTAAACATTGAAGGATATGATTTGGTTTACGGTTGGCATGCTTATCTATTATATGACAAGAGAGTGGATAAGACTTTTAAAAGTCACATATTAAGGAATGCTTTATTGCATGTCTGGAAAAAGTACCAATATTTTCACGAGTGTTTTCAGGATTGCTGTGGCTACTTGATCAGTCACAAACAGTATGGATTCAATCAAGCCATCTCCTGTTTGCAATTATCTGCAAGCCTTCCCCGCCCTAGTTAATTGCATTTTAACTCCCCATATAAGTAAGGACCTTTCCACTTGCTACTTGGGCCTAGATGCTGTTTAGGCCTATATGCAGAGCTCCTGCTGGAAGCTGGATGCAGAGCTCAGTGCAACGCTGCAGAAGGGAGGAGAACACAGATAAGGAGTCCAGACGCTGTAGCAGAGATACTCCTACGGAGGTTTGCCTTTTGCTGATTTGAAGCACGCAAGCCAACTTCTGAACTGTTGCTGCTGGACATTCTCCCTCCCAGGAACTTCAAGCTACGTTTGCTGATTGAATTGTTTTTTCTTCAGGTGACTTTTAGCTGTGAAGTTTATGCTGCTGCCCTTCTACTACCTCGATGATGTATCGACACGGAAGCTGCTTAATGTCATGTTAGCTTTTTTCTCTTATGGACTGTTTCGGTATTGTGGAGAGGAATCTAGGGAGATAGCCTGGCTTCACATAACCAAGATAAGACTTTGTTATTAATGTGCCTTTTTAAAGATATAGTGCTTTTTAAACATTTTGAAGTAAATTATATTTTTATACAAGACTCCTCTGTCAGTTTTATTTCAGTCCTAGTGTGTTTGCTCATGAGCTGGTTCACGGTTCGGGGACACCCCTCAACCCCATTCCCTAACAAATATAAATTAAATGATAAGTTACCAATGTGGACAGCACCCAGACACGCGATAGAGAATATAAGTCTAGAGCAAAAACAAGATGAGATTATATATAAGGAGTTTCTTTATAAAGAAAGAGGTATACTACAATTAAAATCTATGAATCAAGTAAGAGGAGAAAGAATAATTAAAACATGGTTTCAGTATGGTCAGCTGCAAGCTAGATGGAGAGAAGATCAAAAAATTGGTATTTTGCAAGAGGATGAGAACTTGGTAAAACAAATTAGAGATAAAGGCCAAACGCATATAAAAAGGTTGTATAATGCATTGGTTGAAATAGATTCAGAAACAGTGCTAGTTAAGGACTCTATGATAAAATGGGCACAAAATATTGGAGAACCAATAATGATGGAAACGTGGGAAAAAATATGGGTTAGAAATATAAGATTTACGCAAGCCCAAAATTTAAGAGAGAATTTTTATAAAATGTTTTATAGATGGCATTTAGATCCTAAAAAGCTAGCCTGTATGTACCCAAGTTTACAACCTAAGTGTTGGAGATGTGAATGTGAAGATGCTACGTATTATCATATATGGTGGACATGTAAAAAAATTAAGGCTTTTTGGATAAAAATATGGTGGATAAAAGAAAAAGATAAAATTTACCCCACAGTTCGTTTTGTTGGGTATATTTACAGACTGCATGGTTATAGAGATTAAGCTGATTTTAAGTTTAATAACAGCAGCTAGACTTCTGGTGGCGCAGTACTGGAAGAAGGAAGATTTAACTACTATTGAGGAATGGACGTTAAAAGTAGTGAACCTGGCAGAGATGGCAAAAATTTCAGCGTACTTGAAAGATCATTCAACTGAAAGATATGTACTGGAGTGGAGAAGATGGATCGACTATATTCAAAACAAGTATTAGACTAAAAAGCTTCAAATAGCCTATGAATGAAATATTTAATCTAATCTCTAGTATATGTTTATAGGTTTTTTTTTAACTATGTGGAGTTAAAGACCAAGAGAGAACTTGGAGTCTATAAAATGTTAGCATATTTTAGTTTATGATTGTTAAATGCTATACCCTGTATTTGCTCTGGGAATTCCGGGAAGGGGGGTGGGGGGAAGGGGGAGGAGGGGGGGTGAGAGGGAGGCGGGAAGAAAATGTTTGTATCTTTGATAAAACTTTTTAATTAAAAAAAAAAGAATAAAAAAAATAGCATTGATCACTTGGAACAGTTCACAGGAATTTTGATTCTCCTGCCGATTATTACCTTCAAAGCAAAGGAGAAATGAAAATGGTAACAAGGTTAGAGAAAAAGATCAAACCGTACAAAGTCAAGTGAATTTCCTTCTGAATTTTTCCAAAATTCCTTTATGTTTGCATGCTTACAGTGGTGTGATATAGACAGGATTTCTATATTCATGAGTCCTAAAAGCTTTGAAAATATCTAGAAAACATCTCTTTCTTTACAATTATCTATATATGTGCAAATCTCAATCAAAGTCTGTTTTGAGCCATGGAATAATTAGGGGAAACACCCAAGGAGGAATAAGGAGAAAAGTTAAGATTTATTGAGGTCGGTTAATTTCAGCAGACACCTGTGAGAACTGAAACCCTTTTTAAAAAAGCTCCTTCTTTCCCGGTGTACTTTGGAGCCAGGGGTGGGTTCTAATTTTTTTTACTGCCGGTTCTGTGGGCATGGCTTATTTTGTGGGCGTGTCTTGGAGGTCATGTGACTGGGTGGGTGTGGCTAGCTGGTCATGTGACCGGGTGGCCATGGCTATGTGTATAGGGACTACTCAGAGGGCTGAAAAAAGTCATTTCTGACAGGTCCTCGCAGTTTTGACTGGTCCTCACACTTATGACCATCCTCACATTTATGCCCGTGCAGCATTCTTAACAACCATGTCACTCATTTCACAACTGCTTCTCTTCACCATGATGACAAGATAGGGCGAAAAACGTAAAATGTGAGGACAGTCGTAAGTTCAAGGACTGGTCAAAAGTGCAAGGACCAGTCAAAAATAACTTTTTCAGCCCTCTGAGTAATCCATATGCACAAAAGGATACAGCAATAGAGAGGGATGAAGGAAGGAGAAGAGAGGGAAGGAAGAGAAGGGAGGAAGGAAGGGAAGGGAAATTAGAGTAGGAGTGAGGGTAAGAGAGGGAGGAAGAGAGGAGAAGGAGAAAGGAAGTAGGGAGGAGAAGAAGAGGGGGGGGAAAGAGAAAATAAGAAGGAAAGAAAAGAGAGAGGTGGTATGTTTGAGGAGAAAGATTGCTGTACAATAAAAAAGATGAAAGGGAAGAAAGCCAACCCCAAACAAATATAAAGATAAAGAATGAATTGTTAAAACTTTAAAGAATAAAAGAGAACAAATAGCAATAAATAGCAATAATTAGAAACACACATACAAACATACAATGTATTTTCTTTGAACAGAGTATTTGCCGGTTCACAAATTTAAACAGTGTTTAGTCATTTCAATTAAATTTACAATTCCTATATTTCCTTTTTGCCATATTTATTCATCTATTTTTTTAAAAAACCAATATTACCTCATCTCTAATCTTAATCAAATTCAATTTTTCCCTTTTATTCTATATTATACCCCTTCCCATTGTCATCTATTTTTATATCCATCCTCACATTGGTTAATTATGTAATTATGTAATATTGCAGTTGTTTAATACAAATTCAACATTTTAATATAAATCAGTTAGTTATATAACTATCTTTTTTGTATATTAATCAATATGAACATGAATATTCCAATTATTTCCATGCAATCCAATTTCTTACAAATCAATTAATTATATTTACCAATAATAATAAACCAAATAATTTCCCCCATATATTCCTCCAAACCACAACTTAACCATTTCTGCTTTCAACACAATATACAATTAATAGTATCTCAATTATTACAATTCCCTAGTTAAATAGAGCTTTTTTTCTTTTGTGTTTTAAAATCTTGAACTCTCCTCTTTTGCCCTAAATTTCCCATTGTTTGCACCTACCTTTTTTGGTGAGCAAAAAGAAAAAGAAATCTCTCC